TTGAATGAAACTCCTTTTACCAAAAAAATTCACTTTTACCAGAGAAGCTTCCCAGGTGACACCACGGGGTGCACTAACTCAGAGTGAGTTGTCCAATGCTCACCTAGCAGGGAAAATGTGTACTGTGACAGCTGTGTTCCAGCCAGTGCACTTCTGGTTATTTTGGGGGAGTACCTCATCTACGTGGCTGTAATGTATGTGTCAGGCGCATGCGCAGGCACGCACGCACACCTCTAGATACTTGCGGTACGATTCTTCTCTAACATCCTAGCACGTGGGAAGTGGGTGCGTGCATGTGTGAGGCGGAGGACGGGCTTGGGAAGAAGTCTGGAACACAAGGAAACCACACGGGGGAGTGGTGAGCGTGGACGAGGACGGACTGCCTCCGACCCTCGTCGCCCAACGGGCCTTAAGAGAACCACTACTCTTATCTTTCAGGTGAAACTCGAGAGCAATTTTGCTTCAATTGTGTTTGCGACCATGGTGCTGGAGGGGCTCGGCCGCTCCCTGGACCCCCAGCTGGATATACTGGAGGCAGCGAGACCCTTTCTCCTTGGGGGTCCAGCGCCCTTCCCCTGACTGCAGCCTGTCACCGGGGAGCTGCCCCTGAGGCACGTGAGCACTCGGAAACTGGGTGTTTGGAGCTTGCTGGGCATCTATCTCCAGTGTCAGGTCGTCCATGAAGTGGGGGGTGAGAAAGCCCCCCCCCCAGTCATTGTGAGGCTGGGCCTGGTGGCCAGGACCCCTCCGGGCCATGAGGAATGGTCTGCGGACCAGGGGGAGGAATAAAAGGAGTTGCTTTGTGTCCTGGCTTTTCTTTCTTCTCGTCTTGACCCTGCACACTCCTCCATCCTGCCAGGCCTGCTGGTCCTGGTCCTGGGTCATGGCACAGAATCCGCCACACTCCTCCTGCCCAGCTCTTCAGAATATGCACCTTTATTGGTTTAAAAAAAATCTGAAGTAATGCACACACATATATAATTTAAAATTTTTAAATTTGAAATATTTTTTGAGGCACAATCTACCACTAGAGCCATTTTCACTGTGTCCCATATCTTCTGTTTAGTCCTCTTTCGCACTCCTTGCTAAGTTTCATTACCAAGTGAGAGAACGGTGATTCCCAGGGCTAACATGATGTGGGGAGTTCCGGCAGCGCTGTTCCAGTTGTGTATGGATGACAAAGTTGCCTCTCTCAGCCATATGCTTGGTCCTCCGTGAAGCAGGAAACACGGGGTCCATCTCAGTGTTGTAAAACCACTGGAGAGAGATCCTGTGTCTATTCCGAGACTCAGGGGACGTGAGATCAAGCAAGGCTTCAGGAGGATGGTTTGTTCAGTGACTTAAAACAAAATTGGTGACAATATACACAGCAGCATATGCGCACTCACCAATTTGCATATACAGTGAGTTTATTGTGCCAACCTGGCCAATAAACACGTGGGGTTAATTGAAGGGCTCGGTGAGCCTTTCTGGTTCTCGGGTCTCTTGCTTTGTGATGATCAGACCAGGGTGCAGCTGCCTTAGTTCCCTGCTTCAGCTGGCAAGGCTCACTTCCTGCAAGACATCCCCAAGAAGCCACATGGACCTACCCCGATGCAGCCCTGGGTGCTGGAGCACCCATGTGGAGACCCCTGCCAGCGCTGAGAATTTACACATTCACTGACTCCGCTTTCCTCCTGCAGTCTGCATCATTGCTTCTGTTTTGTGAGATGGAGGAGGACTTTGTGGATTGGTGTCGGACATATGGGCTTGGGCAGCACTGGGTTGGGATGTTTTCTTGGTGCACACTTAACCTTCATATAAAACTCTCATACATGAGTTTCTGTGGATTTGTTTCTCTAAAGTACCCAGACTAACACATACAGCAACACAAGCGCAGTCACCAGTTTGCATATGTGCTGTCGATGGACTGTGGTGACCTCCTCCCACTGTCTCCTTCTCACTCACTTTGCCCCTGTTTCACCACCTGGAGTGCCCACATCTGTGCTCCCAGGTTGCTGCAGCAATCTTTCTAGTTGTTTCAATCTCCTACAGGTAATTCTTTAAAAGTGTACTGCGCTCACGGCAAACATGACTTACTGAGCTAAATTTGCAATTCAGAGATGTTTTGTTTTGTTTTTTGGGAGGGGGCTAGTTTTGGTTGCCAGAACATCCCCAGGCAGTAAATTCGGGGGGGCCTCCAGTTTCAACGTGCCTTATACATGTTTTCCATGCAGGAGCCACCTATTGTGTCCCAGGCCAAATTACAAAGTAATGGCGGTTGGACCCCATCCAATTCCTAATTGTGGGACAAGATAATCCCTCCCCCTTTAACTCTTTGCTTTCTTTATCTTTCAAGTTAAGGGGGGTAGGTTCTTGGTTGAGGTTAGATCCTGTAATGCTAATCCAAGTAGGGTGTTCTCACAGTCCCGTGAAGTTTGATTTGCATTCGGAAGCTGTCAGTGTCGGGGTGGCCTCCCTTCCCCTCAGCCGAAAGGCCCCTATTCAAATATGGGGAGGGCCTGGAAGCAGCTCTTCCAGCCCATCTGGGAAGCAGCTAGATTTCACTGTTTGACTCATAATTGTTTGTAGGCTGAAACCATAAACTTTCTCTACCAGTTTTTTTTTTCTGTTAAAAAGATCAGAATTTGAAATGCAAAATCCTTTCAAAGTTAAGGGCCCCCAAGCTTCTAAGGAGCAGCACTGTTTTAAGTACACGTGAGCACTGACGTTAAAGCAGTGTTTTAAATTTAATTCAGCAAGAAGGATGGAGAGAGAGAGTGAATTTATTTCATCTGCGTAACTTTTGCTACCAGAGAAAGAAAGTACAATGGAGGAATAACAATGTCCTGAGCACACTTAAGGTACGATCTTAAATGACTCATTCGGTTGCAGGACACTCCGAGGTGGCAGGGTCGGAGAAGCTGTCCTCCTTCCAGTCCAAGAAGCAACAGAAGTCAGTATGAAGGCCCCATGGAGAAGAGGGAGACAGAGGCCAAGAACCCAGGGTTGCAGAACAATGAAACAACAGGGCTTTTAGGGAGACACACACAAACCCGAGCACTGTTAGCTTGACCTTAGCCCAAAGGCCGAGAAGCGATCGACGAGCTAGTGAGCCTCCAGGAGGGAGCAGGTCTGGACGCCGTGTTGGGGTTTGGGGCAAAAGTGTAACAAAGAAGTCGGGCTTCTAGGGGGATGTCCGGGCATTGTCCTGGAAGCGCCCCCGTGACATCCAGGGGCCGGATCACTCCCCCAGGACAGCGCTGTCCGCGGAAGCCGTCAACCCTCCCAGCCCCCGCCACGGCGCGACGCTCCTCCGCAAGGCCCGAACCCGGCCATACCATTTCGTATTTTAGGGGGACCCGCACCCAGAGCCGCCGAGCGGCAGGCAGCAGACGAGGCGCAGGAGCTCGGGTGCTGGCGCTTCTTCCTACGCCGGGGAAGGCGCTGAGTGCGGATGAGGCCGTTTGAACTTGACACGCGGGCAGCTGCTCGCCCGCCGCCGCACCCCTTGGAAGAAATGGGCGACGCCGTTGCAGGGGCGGGGCGGGGCACCTGCCGGAAGTGACGTCAGGCGGCGCGCGGCCCGGGAGCGTCCGCGGACACCGGCTGCCATGTCGGCTCTGACGCGCCTGGCGCCTTTCGTTCGCGCCGGAGGCCGGCTCTTCCGAGGCTGCGGCTCACGGTCGGCGGGAAGCGGGGGCGTCCGTCAGTACGTGTCGGCGGGGGTCTTCGCCTTACTTGGGGCGCACGGGCTCCCTTCGTCCTCACCTTGACCCCGCGCGGGCGGGTGTACGGGTCCCCGCCGCAGGGCATGCTGGGGGTTGTAGTCCCTCCTGGGCGCGGGGAGGCAGGGGCTTCGCTGGCCCCAACCCCGAGCATCTGCGGACTTGACCGCCGCCCCGCCGCCCACCGTCAGGTCCGGGGCCGAGCGCGCGCGTGCGTGTCACCCCCGTGGACGGCATCCGCCAGGCGGTGGCCGCTGCCCGAGTGTCGCGCGAGTGTGGGAAACCCCCCCTTCGTCCTGGGACGAGCCTGCGCGGGCTAGCTTCTAGGGTGTCCCCGAGCTCGGGAATGGTCCCGGGCGGCGCTGACCCGCTTCTCTGCCTGGCAGTGCGGGCGGCGGCGTGCACATCGAGCCCCGCTACCGGCAGTTCCCCCAGCTGACCAGGCACCAGGTGCTCCTGGGCGAGTTCTTCAGCGGCTTCATGTGGTTCTGGATCCTCTGGCGGTTCTGGCACGAGCCGGACGCTGTGCTGGTGAGTGCGGGCGGGGGCTCCACGACCTTGCTTCTCAAGGACACACAGGGGCCAGGAGGCCTTTCAGCTCCCGTCCTCAGGAGACCAGAAACGAATTCTGTCTTCCAACGTCTTTTTGCCAATTTCCATTGCTCCACACCCGAGTTTCTTGAAGCAGGATAGCCGGGCTGGGTGCAGTATGAACTCCATCCAGCCCAGAGTGACTCACCCCATAGGACCCGTGTGAGAACTGCCCCGTACTATGTCAGAGGCTGTCCGTTTTTAGGGGAGACCACTTCTTCCCACAGAGGAGTGGCCTTCAGTGCTTAACCTAGGCCTCCTGGTGAGGTGCACATGTGCTGATTGGGCCGGAGCAGCTGTTCCCAACCTGCGGGTCTCCACCCCTTTGGGGGTTGAACGACCCTTTCACAGGGGTTGCCCTCTTCTTAACAGTAGTAAAATGACAGTGATGAAGTAGCAACGAAAATAATTTTATGGGGGGGCGGGTGTCACCACAACATGAGGATCGCAGCATTAGAAAGGTTGAGAAACCACTGCCTTAGAGGGAAGTTCCTGAGCTGGGACGATGGAGCAGTTACTGCAGACCTCCTGCCGACTCCAGGGACCTTGAATCATAGTACATTTGGGGTTGTTTCTGAGAGGAAACCCTTGTACATGTGAGCAGTGCACATGTGTTAGGAGCAACGGGCTGCTACATACCCTGTCTCTTTCAGCATGTCTCTCTCTGAGCTGCAGCACGCTAGCTGGGTGCAGGTATGGGGTCAGAGTAGGCAGGCACTGGAGAGCCTGTGGGTTCCCTTCTTGGCACCATCGTAGACTCAGGACCACGCCAACTTGAGTCAGGGATTCTCACGGTCTCCCAGTGCACACACACTTGATGCCGACACACGGTGGCGCATTAGTGCGAAATGTTGCAGGAATGACCACGGCGGGACACAGACTCGAGCCAACACAGGCTGCTGAACTTGGCGCTGCGAGGGTTGTCACAAACCTTCCGTTTTGTTAAAAATCAAGTCCACATGATGTGTATCAAAGTGAGGTGTGCCCATTGCCATGGTGCCTGGCCTGATGTGATGGCACCAGCCACATGTGCCTGGGGGCCCCCAGCAGGATTGGCCTGGGCTGTGTGTGGACTCCACTGCCCGTCACAGTCCAGTCGTGTGCTGGACGCAGGCCTGCCATTGGAGCCCAGGGCCCCGCCACGGTTGTCAGCCCAGCGCGTGGTGACCACCTCTCCCTCCCATGGCTGCTTTTGGCCTGTAACTGGCCGAGTAGGCTTTAGGTCCTTGACTGTTGTCCATTCCATCGCTGCCCAGGGTCACTTTCCGTATCCAGATCCTTCCCAGTGGACGGATGAGGAGCTGGGCATACCCCCGGATGACGAAGACTGAGGAACCAGCTCTGCTGGCTGTCTGGTGGGTGTGCCCTGTGGTGCTGTGCTGATCATTGGTCACTTGTAACTCAGCCTGGGATGGCCGTGTACTGGCAACGTGAGGGGCTCATTTCTGCACACATTGTTTTTGCATCACCCTCCTCCTCTCGCTTTCCTGGAGTCTGTTCGTCTCCATCTGATAAGTGGATGTGTTCCCACCTTGGTGTCAGGCAGAGGGATACAGTGATGAGCAGACACCCCTGGTGAATATGTGCGTGTCCTTGTCCCTGTCCCTTAAGTCTGCAGTGGCAAGGATGGGGAGGTCCAGCAGGTGGAACTGTCCACACATGAACTCTTCAGACAGTAGCGAGCCCTTCCATCTTTGATCAGAAAGTCAGCTTTTCTTCTTTCACAAGAGAGGCGTGCTAGGAGGGTGCCTTATCCCCCCGCCCCACCTTCGGCGACCCTCATTGTATGTTTCATAAAATAAGTAATGCTATTATAATAGCTGCCACGATCAATTGCCTTGGCATTTGCTACAAAGGATGTGAGGAGCCATCGAATCTATTGGAACAAAACGCTTGGCCAATCCTGTGCCGTCCTCACAATTGCTCTTAGGTTTGCACCCAGTGTTGCACCCCTCGACCTTACCAGGCAGGATATCCTTTCCCTGGGACTGTCTCCTGATGATATGTCCAAGCAAAGTATAGAAGAGGAGAGGTCTTGCCATCGCGCCCTAAGGAACACCGTGGCTGAACGATGGTGGCACTTTTTCCAGCCCAGATTTGCTTGTTCTAGGAGTTCACGGTGTTTTGGTATTGTCTGACACCGTCATGCGGATGCAGAGGCTCTTCGCTGGTCTCTCTCACACACTGTCATTTTCCAGTGCCTGCAGGGCCCTTGGAGGGTCATCTTGTGGTTTGTAGCACTTGTAGATCCAAGAAGGCGAAGTCCCTGACCTCCTCACGCCTTCTGACCCTGCCGCCCGCTGGTCCAGAGGGAGGAAGCATTACGTTAGGTGGCACTGCCCATCTTCTAAGTAGTAGTAGTTCATTGGCATCCAAATTCCAGCAGTCTGCGGTGGGTACTGAAGAGTGGAGTGGGCTGAGCCCCCACCCAAGGGCAGGCTTGGGGTGTCTGCTGCACCTGCTCCCCTGCAGGCCTGCACTCGGCTTCTCCCATCTCAAGGTTGTGGTGGACAATGTGTGCTGGCCTCTGTGGAGTCTTATGCTTATAAGCAGTTTGTGTGAAATCGGTTCCCAAAATTATGTTGTCTACCATGCCCCTTTCACGAAAAAACAAAACCATCAACTTTCAGAGCCCCGTTGCAGTTAAACCCCTGCTACCATAGCCCGCCGTCCTGCCACAGGGTCGGTGTCTGCTTTTGCAGGGGCCCTGGTGGCATCGTGGCTACGGCGTTGGGCTGCTAACCGCACGGCCACTCAGTGGGAGAAAGATGGGGCTTTCTCCTCCCGTAAAGTCTCAGCCTGGGCCCCCCAGGGCAGTTCTGCCCTGCCCTATGTGGTTGTTGTCTCTGTTTGTGTGCTCATTGTTCGATGCCCCTGCTCTGACTCAGCTGCCCTGCAGGCTGCCCTTCCCAGCAGACGGGCTGCGGTGGGTGTGATGCACAGGGCCCGGGACCTCAGGATGGGTTTGCTCTGCCCCGCGCAGGCCCCACATCTGACGGGGTTCCATGAGTGCCAAAAAGAGGGGCTGGGAGCCAGGGGCTTGGAATCTCCAGAACGAGGAGACCCAGCGCTTTCTGCCTTTTTTTTTTCTTGCAGGAGCCGGTTTTCCTGCCAGAAGTGCCGGTGTTGTAAATCTTGATTAAAGTGGTTTGATGGAGAAAAAGGAAGAGAGTTGTGGCTGTTTGTGCAGCAGCTGTGCCTGGTGCTCTGCCAGCCAGTCCCCACTCAGGCCCTAGGGAGGCATCAGCTCAGGCTGCCCACAAGGACCTGGGCCCACACGCAGGGTCAGTGGCTGGGCTGGGGTTGCCTGTGGAGCTCCAGCGTGGCACCGCGGGTGGAGGTCAGCTGTGCTCCAGTGGGCTGAGCCCAGGCTTCATGGGATTCGAGTGGCTGGAGGAGTGGGAGACAGAGCTCCCCTGCAGTTGCCAAAAGGCACCGAGCAGCTTGTGTGGTGCTGGTGCTGTCCTGAGAGACGATGGGGCGGGGCCAGCTTCCACCCAAATAACAAGTGGCCAGCGGGTAGACGTGCCCAGAGCATAGCTGTTTCTGGTGGTGCTGGCTTTGACCACCTGGTCACTGGGGACACTGAGGAGGACAGTGAGATTTCAGGAGGGTCCTGAGGGAAACGGACCTGGCCAGGCAAAGGATCGGGATGCCGGAGCCAAGCCATGGGCATAGGCCCTCTAGAGAAACACGTCATTCGGTGAAGGTCCAAGGAATGCATGCTCCAGGGACATCGGAGGAGAAGGCAAGTGACAAGGGGGCATGCTGAGTTGAGACTCATGATGGAGGGGGCCATCCCTTGTCATCTCCCCTGGTGAGGTGGGCTCACTGGAGAAGACCCCGACAGCCTTCAGTTCTGCGAGCACTGAGACCTCAGCAGGGCTCATCCCCCCCACCCCCACCCCCGCACTTTCAAACCGCTGTCTCACACACACACACACACACACCCCACTTTCAAACGCTGACTCGGATGCTGAGCAGCCCAGTGTGTGGTGACCACAAATGGCAGTCCAGGGGCCGCTGTCGCCGGAACCACCTGCTGCAGGGAACCGCCCCAGCCTCCCTCCTTCCAGGATGGGTGGCTCCACCAGCCTCATTTTGTGGGCACAAGTGGGAGTGGGTCCCAGGGGCCCACTGCTAGGCTTTTGATGGCTGGTGAGGTATGAATAAAAAGCACTGCGGCTTTTCCTCATAATCTGTTGGGGGCTCTGGTAACCAGACAATTCGGGCTACATGTAGTTCTAGACTTGGGTAACGTACAGAGGGGTAGGCCTAATGGGCCCCACAAACTTGGAAGCCTGCCTGCCCGCCCGCCCCCCCCATGTTCTTTCTGAAGTTCATGTGAAGGGGGCGGGGGTGGGAGCCTTTCAGACGGCGTGAACAGAACGTGTTGTGTTGGGAAGTCAGCTCGGTGGGGTGGGGCCAGCAGCACCAAGCTTCACAGTCTCACAGGAGGCTGTAGCTACCCTGCCAGACCACCATCGCCAACAGGAGCCGCATGTCCCCAAGACCATACCTGGCACTGATCTGGACCACTTTAGAACACCACGCGCAGGTATCCTCGGGATACCGTGAGAAGCTGGTGTGAAGGAGCTGCAGGAACGACGTGGCTGGAGCTGGCTCCATGCAGTCAGTCTTTATTAGAGCAGAGTTCGCATATTCACATCAAATACATACAACGTTTTTTGCCTTTTATATAATACAGTTTTTAAATTACACAGAAATAAATTCAATCTGAAGCTCAGCTATCTTCCTTTAAATTTTTAAAAATTAAATTCTCCATGCTTTCTATCCAAACTGAACAATATTTTCCATTGTACAAATTTACACGAGAAAAACTCTATAAAGTACAAATCAATCAGGACCTGAGCAGGAGGGAGAACTGATTTGCGAGGGGGTGGGGTGGGGGCGGGGAAGAACTTAAGAAAAAAAACGATTCAAGCAAATGCTTAAGATAGGGGGACCTCATCATTAAACTGAAAATAAAGGTCTTTCATGAACTTAAACAGCAGCTCTAAAAATTGTTACTCCATTGTAGTTTTTGCAAAGCAGGTGCAGTCTGTGGACAGGTAAAAAGCTCCCACCTTTGCCCTGGGCACACCCAGACACTGAGCCTGGGGCGGCAGGACATGAGGAGGAGGTGACCAGCCACAGCTCCTGACCCACAGAGCTCGCCCTGGGGCCGCAGCCCTCACCTGTCTCAGCAGGAGCGGCACCCGCTGAGAGCAAGGCCCGGTCAAGAGTGGGCCATGATCGACTGCCACACACGTGCCATTGACCCTTCCCCCTCCACTCTTGGTGCTGCCACCCAGACTGCAGGCTGGCGGACCAGCGTTGGGGGAGGGCAGCACACTCCTGCATGCGCCATGCGTGCGCACCGCCGCCCCCCCCTGTAAACAAGAGGACGGGAAGAAGCAGACTGGCTGCTGGCGTGGGGATGTGATCAATGTGTATGTGTGTGTGTGTATAGGCGCCCACACACTCGGAAGGTACAGAAATGGATTAGGAAGGAATGACTAAGAAATTGTTCACAGCTTAAAATAGAAAGCACACTTATTGCACGCTTACATTTTGTCTGCTAGTTTAGGGCATTTCCCACCCACACTCCCCTTTGGTCCGTGTTTCTATTGGCGCCTCGCCTGCTGCTCACCCTCGTCCCCTGTGGACTCCTACACGCACACACACACACAAATTGGTGGGGGTGGGGGAAGCAAATCCTCACAACAGGACTAAGCAGATATGCGCACAGCGTACCCACCCTGTCCCTGGGCTTGTTACCTGTCTGAGGGCCCCCAGACCCCCGTCTGGGGTGAGCAGGCGGCTTGCACAAGTAGCTATGTTTGGGGGCCAACAGGTCAGCTTTGTTTTCAGTGCAGTGTACAGGGGTAGGGACCCTGCCCCTCACAGCAGCAGGGCACCCTGCGGCACTCAATCCAAACAACAAGCGGAACCCTAACGTGGTCAGGACGCGAATGCCCCGCACCCGGCGGAGGTCACGTGTGGAGACAAGGGATCGGCCCTACGCAGCTTCGTAAAGCGGTTACCTGAACACTTCACATTTTGTCTTTTCCCTGCAAATACTCGCCGGAGCCGGCCACTACCCTGGCCACAAGGGAGATTCAGGAATGAATTCCAATGTCACTGACACAAGTTCTCCGTGCGTGTGGCCATGGGTGCACTGGTGAGCTCCTCCGGGGCCTCGGGGCCACCTTGCCACTGCCACCCTGGCCCAGGGGTTGGCCTACCCCCCTGCTCAGGTCTCAGGTGCTGGGATGCTGGATGCCCCTGCTAGCCTGGAGTCAGTACACCCACCTGGTCAGGCCCTTCCCATGGATGTTTCAGGTGTCCTGCCAGCACTGGCACCCAAGCAGTGGCAGCACGGCCCTGCTGATGTGCCCAAGTCCCAGGTGGCGAACTGCACCTCCCATTCTCCCCAAGTCCCCCCATGCCCACAGCTGCCCGGCTGTCCTGTGGTATCAAAGTCCCATGCTTCAAGAACCCACGGAGTAGAAAAAGGTTCTCTAGAAATGCCACTTACCCATCATTCCAACCTAGTTGCTCTAAGAGATACAATATATCCGACTAGACTAGGGACCGTGTGCTTTAAAAACACCGTGTTGCTCACTGAAAGCTTCCTTGTGTTCTGGTTTTTAAGTGTGTGGTTTTGTCGGTCCCTCTCGTGTGTGTGTGTGTGTGTGTGTGTGTGTGTGCGTGTGCGCTCATGCGAGTAACCCCGAGGGGCTGCCCCACCGTCACTGATCCCATTTTCAATGGTTTATTGCATCATGAAGGCACAGTAAGATCATTTGGCAAATTGTCACGGTATTTCCTGGAGGCTGGCCTAGTCCACATCACGGGTGTCCTGCCTGCACACAGGAGCCCTCCACGCTGACTGGGCAGTCAGAGCAGGCTAGTCTCGGGGCCCAACTCTCTTGCCGACAATGCCAACCTAGACAAGCGGGGGACCCAGCTGCACAAGGGCCCGCTGGCCTCTGGTGGCGATGCCATCCAGCCAGTGCCAACTCTGGAGGAC